AGTGTGTTGTTTAATTTCCATACATTTGCATAGTTTCTGTGGTTTCAGTGCATTGTGATCTAATAATATGCATGGTAAAATTTTGATTCTTTCCCATTTATTTAAGCATACTTTATTAGCTAGTGTGTGGTCTGTTTTGGAGAAAGTACCATGTGCTGCTGAAAAGAATCTATATTCTGTTGTTGGGCGGAACACTGTAAATATCTAGTAAGTCCATTTGTTCAAAGGTTTTGTTCCACTCTGATACTTCTTTGTTAACTTTTTTGCTTAGTGGTCTATTTGTGATAGTGGGGTACTGAAATCCTCACTGTAATTATATTGACGTTTATCAACTCTTATGTCCATTAATGTTTATGAAGTTGAATGCACCATGGTTTGGTGCATATGTTTATAACTGTTGCCACTTCCTGTTGAATAGCTCCGTTAACCAACATGAAATATCCTTCTTTGTCCCTTTTGATCCGCTTTGGCTTAAAGTCCACTTTGTCTGAGAATAGGATAGCTACTCCTGCTTGTTTTCAGGCTCTTGTTGCCTGAAATATTGTTTTCCACCGTTTGATTTTTAGTCTGTGAATTTCTTTTTGAGTTAGATATGTTTCTTCTTTTTTTTGTTTTGTTTGTTTTTTTTCTGGTACTGGGGATCAAACTTGGGTGCTTGCGCTTGTGCAGCAGGCAGTGAAACCACTGAGCTAAATCCCCAGCCCACGTTTTTCTTCTTGATTCATTCTGCTATTCTGTGTTTTTTGATTGGTGAATTAAGTCCATTCACATTAATAGTTACAGTTGACAGGTGTTGACTTACTCCTGTCATTATATTACTTGTTAGCTATTCTACTCTCTTTCCTCTCTCCTTAGTTGGTAGCCCTGCCTGACACATTCCTTCTGTTGGACCTTTTGGCATTGTTAGCTTCATTGTCTCTAGTATATGAAAATTTTTTGGAGTGTTGGTTTGATTGTCGTGGATTTCTTTAGGTTCTCTTTATCATGGAAATATCTTATTTCGCCATCAATTTGGAAAGATAATTTTACAGGATATATCAATCTAGGTTGGAAGTTGTTTTCTTTTAGGGCTTGAAACACTTCACTCCAAGCTTTAAGGTTTGTGTTGAGAAGTCTGTTCTAATTCTGATGGATTTTCTTTTATAGGTGATTTTTCTCTTAACAGCTTTCAAGATTCTGTTCTTGTATAGAATTTCTGGTATTTTAATTATTATGTGCCATTGTATGTTTTTATTTCTGATCATGACTCTTTAGGGTTCTATATGCCTCACTTATCTGCATGTTAAATTCTTTTTCCATGTCTGGAAAGTTTTCTGCTCTTACTTCTGTAAACAGGTTTCTATATGTCCTTTGTGCTGTCTTCTGATTTTTTGTTAATTCCAATTATTCTTATATTAGTCTTCTTTGAGTCATCTAGCAGGAATTTGATCCATTTTTTATGTATCTTTCATTAATTGATCACTAACCACAGTCTTATCTTCTGGCCTTGACACTGTCCGCACATTGTTTGCCTGTGAACATTCTTGTACAGGTTTGTATAAGAATGTTAGTTCCATTCTCTTGAGTTTGATGCCTAAGAGTTGGACTTCTAGGGCACATGGTAGGTGTGTGCTTAGCTTTGGAAGAAACTATCACACTTTTTCAAAGCAGCTATACCAGCATCTTCATTTCCATCAGCAATGGATGATAATTTCCTATTACTCTTTTACCTTTGAAAGTTCTTTTTAGTAAGCACAGAACTATGGGTTTGACTATTTTCTTGTCATGGTTACTGTGTTTTTCATTTGCAGAGTTTTATTTTATTCTTTTTTCTTTCTTTCCATCTCAGCTGAAATTCTCATCCGACACTGTTTGTTGTCCACCTTCCCCATTAAATATTTGAGCATATTAATCATAATTATTTTAAACTCTTAGTCATTTCTGATATGTCATATTTGACTCTAGTTCTGATTATTTTGTCTGTTTGGAATACTTTTTCGTGTCTTTTTGTGTGCCTTAAAATTTTGTGATGAGAGCTCGACATCCTACATAAGGCAGAGCAGTTTATGTACATCACCTTTGCACTCGGGATGGGCATCCTTCATCTGCTGGCCCCTACTGTGTAGGCGGTTGGCCCGGTCCCGCGACCGCCTTCCCATGCCAGAGACATCAGATCCTTGCAGAGAGATGCCTTGTGTTTGAGTGGGTTAGTTCACAAGCCCCTGTCCAGTATCCTCACTGTAGATCTTCCTTTTGACCGTGCCTTGAGGAGGACCTCTCTCCTCCTCTTGGTCTTTTTCTGTCTCTCCCATTCCGTGTCCTTCAGAGCTCCTTAGCCTGGCATTTGGAGACAAAGAGGACGACAGTGAGCGCTCTGCTTTCTGACTGCGCCCCTTCTATTATGTGCGCTGTGCTCTTACCTTGCTGGGGTGGGGCTGCTCACGTCTCCTGCACATTCCCGGGCTCTGCTGTAGTCCTGTCCCTCCCCTTTTACCAGGGTCCTGAGGATAACAGTACTTAGCTCCCTACCCCCAAAGGATGAGGGTTGTATTTTCCTACTCGGGAGAAAGGAGATGGATCCAGGTGAGGTTTTTTGCCTCTGCCATGAAGATGCTGCTGCTCTTCCCCAGATCTGCACCACAGCACACACCTCTTAGCACTCTTTTCCATGAGAGCCTGACGGGGTTTGTGATGCCGGGCCCGCGAGGTTTCAAACCCTAACAGTTCACACTTGGCTCCAACCAGCTGTTTTACTCTGTCGACTCTTTTTGCTGAACTCTTGATCAGTAACAGGATGCTTGCCGCTGCATCTATCCCAAGTGACACAGCTTATGTCTGTTTTTCTACAGAAATTATCTTTTCTTCCGTTTTGGGCTGTTTGATTCTCTAGGACCTCAGTGTTTCAGTGGGTTTGGAAAAAGTCATATTGGAAGTTAGGCTTGCTCTTGCTTTTATGAAGGAATAGCTTTTAAGGTAAAGTAAGTCCCACCCTGCTTAGACTTTGCAGCAAGGCTGCCATTGATGGCATCAGCCTTCCTCTCCAGGAACCCATTGTTTTTCCATCTAGTTCTGCGCGGTCTTTGCTGCTTTCCCCTTTTTACAAGAAGATGTGTCTTTTTAAAAAGCAACTGATATGACACCCATGTGGCGAATTTGAGTCAAATTGGAGAGGACTTTTGTAATTTTAGAATTTCAAACATCAGACAGTGCCTGAGGCACTTGGAGTCCAGCATTGACCAGAAATCACCCTGTTCACCTCCAGCGTATACCCCCACTAGGATTCCAGTTTGTTGATTGACTCGTTTATTTTTTCATTTGTTCATTTGTTCATTCAACAGTATAACAGTAGAACCTGAAAGCAAAAGGGGTTATGAAATCTCGTATTAAAGAAATCCAGGGCTGGGGATTTAGCTCAGTGGTTCCACCACCTGCTTCACAAGCGCAAGGTCCTGAGTTCGATCCCTGGTACCAAAAAAAAAAATCCAGATACATGTTTTATCATTGAATATCTTAGTTATAAAAATGATACATATCCATGATCAATAGTGTAAAGATTCTTGCCTTTTCACCCCCTAGCAGTAATCGTGCTCTGAGTTTTGGTATGTAAATCCTCTGAGACTTTTCTCTAACAATTTATCTTTCCCATGTACAAAGAACAATAGTAAAGTTAATATTTGGGAAAGCCAGGAAAAACGAGTATTGCTTATTTCTTTTTCCTGAAACCTCAGATAGCAGTGAATACTCTGTATCTCATATTTTGTTCATACATACACACACACACACACACACACACACACACACACACACACACACATACACGTACGTTTGTTGGAAAGTGTAGGTTATAAATCAGGCACAATATGAAAATAACGTACTGTAATAAACTGTGTGAATGCTGTGTCTCCCAATGGTGTGTGCTGTGGTCAGTTTGTCTCCCTGAATGGAGACGCACGGTGCCTTAGGCAATGAAGTGGAACGTGGTGAGTGGCGTGGGCACTGTGACACGGGCTGGGCTGCCCTGCCCTCCCCATCCGAACACAAGTCCTGCTGCACCATAGCTGCGAGCTGTGAGCAGGACACTGCTGAGTGGCTCACAGGCCGGTCTCACAGTGTGGGTGATTCATGTCCCAGGCACCAGGACAGGCAGCATCCCATTACACTGCTCAGCATAAAGCACAGTGTAAAACTTACGGGTTGTTCATTTAATGTTTTGGGCCACAGTTCACTGAAACCAGCAGAAGCGATACCACAAGTTTGCTGCTGCTGAGCTGCACAGGGCCTCACACTCTTTTTCACTGCTCCCCCTTTAACTTAAAGCACATGCCTCTGATTTACAAGGTTTTGGATAGGCGATATTTTTAAACCAGGTTCCACATGGGTGTATAAGTCTTTTGAAACTGTTCCTTGGACCACCTCGAGAAATGGGTTAAATCATATTTAAAAACTGACAGCACATTTTAAGATTAAATTAGTAATTTTTTTAAAATGAAGAAAGTTTAAATATCAGGTGAATTTTACTATAGAAACCTGTCTACAATACTAATCAAGGATTAAAGAAAATTATTTTGACCACAGAATCAATGCTGTCAGTTTTTTGTTTTAACTTGTTCAAAGAAAGGAAAAAATGGGGAAGTAGAGCAGGAAGAGACCAGGAGAAAAGTTGCATTGGACTCTTTTTACCTAGTTGTCATGTCTTGGGAATTTTTCTGGTACAGTGTTTGAAGCTTTCACTTTTCATTTTCTTTATGTTTCACCTTCTTCCTGTCTAATTGCTCTGTCAAGGCCCATTTTACGTCCTTACCCTTAACATGCCCACCCTGACCATGTCACTATCCCTGGTGCCTCTGCTCCGAGTTCCTGTTGTGCAGGCAGCTGCTTCTCCTTGTCTTTGACCTCAGGCTTTGTGAGCAGGGCCCGTCTGTTATATTCCTCACTGTGTGGCCCAGCCTTTGAAAGCTAAAAGATTGTGTTTTTGTGCTTGAAGAGCATTCGGTAACACACCCTTCTGGTTGTTTTCTTAGATGAAAAACAGAGATTCAGCTATGAGCGGTCTGGCTATGATCCTGAAGAATCCGACGGCCCCGATGAGGATGATAATGAAAACGAAGAGGACGATGAAGACAGCCAGGCGGAATCTGTCCTGTCCGCAGCACCCTCAGTCACGGCCAGCCCGCAGCACCTGCCATCTAGAAGTGGTCTTCAGGATTCCATAAGTGCTGATGAGGACGTCAGGATTCCCGATTGCTTCTCTGGGGTGCACATGGACCCCATGGACATTCTGCCGAGAGCGCTGCTCACCAAGATGACCGTTCTGAGCACCATGCAGTCCGACCTCAACAGGAAGGCGAGCTCTCCAGCGAAGGCCAGACAGCATGCAGCAAAGGATGAAGATGAGGCAGCTCCTTCTGTAGACTCTTCCAGGTCACCTGAAGGAGCCCCCAGGTCCCCAACCCATCAGATGTCTGTGGACGACCCAGAGGCAGGAGCTGTGCAGAGTTCTGTGGCAGGGAAGGCTGTCACAGTAACACAGGTAAGTGATTGATGGTGGTTCTTCTCTGCCTTCAGTCTTTACATAAGAGAGCCTAATAGCTTACGAAAACAGTACACCTAAATGATTTCTATATGGTTAAACCACTTTGTGCTTTTTTGGTTATATTTAATGGCAGAAGTTCCTTTGGTGTCTTAAATATTTTAATGAAAATTCACATACTGTATTATAAATCTGTGAAAGAGCCAAAAGCATCTTGAAAAACTTACCCATTATTTGCTTTTAAAAAAAGTTGGAAATAAAATATGTGTGTGTCAATTGTGAGTACAAGTCCTGGGGCCTGTTTATCCCAGGGCTTCCTCTGAATTGTTTTTCTCTGGATTTGCACCGCATTATCCAAATGCTTTGTGCTTTACCGCCATTGGCAAAACACCTACTGGTTTTCCCAGCAAAGTGACCCAAAACTGTTTCACGAGCTCCCTTTGCTTGGAAGATCAGATTGCCATGGCAGCTTGGGAAGGTGCTGCCCAGGACCTAGCTCGGGCCAGACTGGCCTTGCGGGCCCAGGACTGGCACTGAGTGTGTGGCCCCCCTTTCCCCATGGCCTTGTGGCCAGGTGGTTCTTAGGGGAGTACATCTCTGTTGACTCTCCTCTTAACCTTATATGTGTATAATTTGTTTCTAAGTGGGACACATTCTGGTTTGGTGGGTAACGGGAGAAACAGAAAGGACTGTAAAGGCTTGGATTTCTACAGACTAACAGACGTAAATTAATAGAATTTATATGTTGGTGGTTAAGTTAAATTATATTGATACAGAAATTAAAATGTAAATTACTGTAGTTTCAGTATAGGTAAAATCAAGAAAAAGGCTAGTATTTAGGTAAAAGTCTTAGAGTGGGAGGGAGGATGGGCAAGATTTATTCCTTCCAGTAACTTTTCATTCCTTCAGTATTGGATACCCACACTCTGAACTTCTCTGTCCCAAGTCTCTCGCACACCTGCCAGCACTTGGAAATCTGGTATTCAGCAGACATTTCCTAAACGTAGGAAGATATGAACAAGAGAAGGAGCCACTGCAGATGGTTGGTTGGTTGGTTGGTTGGTTAGTTTTAGAGATAGCTCTTTAATTCATGAATGCAGACTCTTGGTTAATTTGTCTCTAGTTCAGTCAGTGTTCACATCCAAATAATGTCACAATTTCTCAGTAATTCCTAATCTCTAAAATAAGGCTGAGCTGGTGGTACCAGGAAGAATATAACTATTGAAACTGTCTGAGTTATTCTAAGTTTAAAATATGATGATATCCAGGAAATGAGTTTGAAAAATGCAAAGCACTATACAAACATGACGGTATTTGTCCTAGGAAAGAAAGGTGCAGTTGGTTTATTACTTGGAAGTTTGCTTATAAACATCAAAGCAGTTACTGTTAAGAAATACAAGGATGCACGCTTTCCCATCCTGAGAATAGACAGCGCTGGTGTTTGACTGAGATGGCTCTGCCCCGACCTCACACTCCTGTGTCTTGCAGGGCACACCATCCGGCCAACTCCCTCCTGCCGCAGCTGCGCCCAGCCCGCAGCCAGTGGCGGGGCCTCTCTCCATTGCCTGCCCGCGTCCTGAGGCCCAGGAACAGAAGCAGCGAGTATCCCCACAGCCGCCCGCTGTCCCGCCTTCGCCCCAGACGCACTTGTTCAGCCACCTCCCCTTGCACTCCCAGCAGCAGTCAAGGACGCCTTACAACATGGTTCCCGTGGGGGGCATCCATGTGGTACCCACTGGCCTCGCCTACTCCACCTTTGTGCCCATCCAGGCCGGGCCAATGCAGCTCACCATTCCTGCTGTCAATGTCATTCACAGGACCGTGGGCCCCGCTGCAGAGACCGTCCCAGAAGCTCCCAGCACGACAGACCCCACCGGAGTGGCTGAGTTGGGCAGTGTTGTACCGTGTATTCCCATTGGCCAAATACGTGTGCCAGGCCTACAGAACCTTGGCACCCCTGGCTTGCCGTCCCTCCCCTCTCTAAGCATGGAAACTGTCAACATCGTAGGCCTGGCCAACGCCAGCGTCACCCCGCAGGTGCATCCACCAGGCCTGGCGCTCAGTGCCATGGGGCTGCAGGTTTTGACTGCGAGCCCTTCCTCTCAGAGCAGCCCCACCCCTCAGGCGCACATTCCGGGTCTCCAGATCTTGAACATAGCATTGCCGACCTTGATTCCCTCTGTCAGCCAGGTCGCCTCCGATGCCCAAGGAGCTCCACAAATACCAGCTTCCCAGAGCAGCGCGTGTGACACGCAGCCCAAGCAGACTTCTGTAGCCAATGCCAGCCAGGTCAGCAGGACCCAGTCTCCTCAGGGGTCACCTAAAGTCCAGCGGGAAAGTGCAAAAAATGTCCTGGGTCCCCATGCCCCTGCAGGTGACCGTGCAAGGTGTGATGGCGCCGGCAGAGTGGACACAGAGCGGGCGGCCTCCACAGACCCTGTGAAGCCCCAGCCTGAGCTCCCGTGCACCCAGGGGCAGGCGGCCAGCGCAGCAGAGCCTCTGAGGCCATCAGAGCCGCAGATTCCCTGCTCCGCCAGGCAGGGGCCCCGGCCGCCCGCGCCGCCCCCCCGGCAGCCCGCAGTGCAGTTCAGCGATGTGAGCAGCGATGACGACGAGGACCGCCTGGTGATCGCAACCTAGTGGTTTCTTTCTTATTCTTTTAATAACACTTAAAGGTTGTTTTGAAAACCCTTCTTTCCTTAAAGCACATTTTTCTGGCATAAACTCATGACTAATCTTTGTGCAATCATGAACTTTTGACCAATAATTGTTGTTTTGTGTCAGCTCCAGCCATTTTTGTACATGGTGTATAGAGAATTGTGCCTTTTAGGAGTTTTATGTTCAGAAACTGTACAGATTGTTGAATACATACATGAAAATATGTTACATATGTATATGAAATCCAGGTAGTTACTTGTGTTTAGTAAGAAGAACTCGTCAGATGAATCAAATGATTAAATTATATGTTGCACTGTTAAATATAAATTTTTATGGCTGTGGGACAGAGTTTCTGTGTATAAATTAGTATGTAGACTCCATATTTATTGTATTCATATTAGTCTTTGAAAATGGATCTGTCCGCCTCCTTGTGTAAGACAGTAACTTCACACTTCAGACAGATTTTCTGTTAGGAAATGTTTCAATAAAATACTGTTTACTGACTTTACCGTGGCTGAAGTTGTGTCTGTCCTATCTGTATTTGGAAAGCAGCCCCTGGAGCCCCTCTTTCCACATTCCCCCTCAACCCCGTGCACACACCCAGCCGCAGCCCGTCACCCCATACGCCTGTTCTTCTTATGTGTGAGGAGTAATTTTGAGGTTCTTTACCTATTTTGAGATACTTCATAGAACATACGGTCTGAGATGGGCAAACTTCCTAGGGGTGGATGTGAAGATTTCTGGTAAACATAAAGTTACCAGTGGTGTTCAGAGCTTAGTTTGGCTGAGACTCGGGAAACACTGACATCCCCGGATCCACCCCTGTTCATTAACTGTAGCCTCTTGTTTCTCTCCGTCCTACCTGTGGCATAGAAAGAGCTCCGTCTGTTATATACTAAGCCACAGAGGAGCCCAGATTTGTGAAAGAGCCAAATTCAGACTTATAACTAAAGAACTATAATGCTTAAGAAATGATTGCCTTCCCTCCTGGGAGATTCAATTTTCATTCATTCATTCAGAAAAATAGCCACAAGGGGTGGGGGTTTACAGTTATAACTGCAGTACTTTGCATTATTACCCAAGGTTTACAGAAGCTGGATATGAGAAAAATATTTTAATGTTGGAATTTTACTGTTTAACACATCGTTAAGGCAATGTGTTCAGTTTCAAAGGCCCACTCTGTGATGACAAAGATGGCAGGGACTGAAGGTTTCAGGGGACTAACAAATCTGGAGACCCACTGTCACATGCCAATGACTACGGGAAGGGTACCGGGCATCCTAACCTGCCGTCAGTCTCAGGTAGGATCTCCAGGCTTTGCTCCAGGCCCAGAAGACTGATGGTCCATCATGCTTTAGATGCATGCTTCAACTTAAATTTATACCCTTTCTCAGATTAGGTAACAAAATCCTCAAAAATAATAATACAGAGTTTATATTCTGAGCTAGGTTTGAAAAACATTCTGGAAACTTCAACTATGGGAGTTACATTGCCCAAATAATAGAGTTGTTGAAAAATGGGGTCCATTATCTGTCCAATTTCTGAAAACTAAATTTTAATTTTGTCTCATGACCTTGTATTACACTTTCATTGCCTAAACTTGAAAGCAGCGTAGTAACCCTAATAATACCCTTAACTCTGTAGTTGTACTATATAGGTATTTTATTACTCTAAATTAAAAGGCAATGCTCAATTTTATGTAGACTTCATGTAGTTTATGTAGACTTTTCTTAATTTGCAGAATTTCTACATCTAATTGTGTTAAACATTGTGGTAGGTTTGGATGTTTCCTTGAAAATCTACTAGATAAGAAATACTACTGGGTGGGGGATTTAGCTGGGTGGTTCCAGTGCTTGCCTTGCAAGCACAAGGTCCCGAGTTCAATCCCTAGTACCAAAAGGAAAAAAAAAAAACAACTAAAATACTACCAAAGTCAGCCATTGCATTTTGAAATAATCTTATACTCAAAGTGGATAAGGAAATAGTAGATTTTGAACAGTCTCCAGTCATTTTTCCCAAGCGGCTCTGTCCATATGATATTCCCAAATACAACTGATTTGAAATAATGTAATTCAGAAAGATGGTAAGGCTTCATTTGGCTTTTTATTTTTTGGTGCTCTGTGTAAGACCCAGATTAGTAGAGAGCTAGGGTACAGTGACCTAGCAGATCTAGTAAGTTATTGGCAACACTATAGAAGCATAATGTGAAGTAATTCTAACATCTTGTGTGAATCTACCACAATGCCACCATCAGAAGTGTTGGGAAAATAAAGAGCTGAAGGTCATTTTTCTAATTTCCAAAGATGAGCATTTTTCTAGTTTTCAAAGATGAGTGAAAATGTTATGAAAATTTACTGTAAGTTAAGTCAAGGGCATTCAAGTAACTTGTTTTCATTCTCCAAATTTAGGTCATAATAACTTTGTTTCAGAATTATAATTAATCATGACATTTAATACAGAAATTTTGTATCTTTTTTTTTTAATACAGCATATTCCTTCACAGAAAAAGTGTAACATTTTTCTCCTTAATCTCTCACCTGAAATTTAAGTGATGGTACTTAATAAGGATTATAGAGTGTGATCATTAATTTTGTTAGAAGATTATCAAGGTACTATTTCTTTATGCATACTAGGGTCAAACTTAGAGCTTTTCTTTTCTGTTTTTAACCTTTTGAGATCAAGTCGAAAACATCAAAAACATAATTTTTCATTAGTGCAATTTTTTTTCCATACCATCTGTAAATTGTAAGGATGTTTTAAATCTTAAGACAGGGATGTTGCTTTAAAGTGATTTCCCATAACCTTGGAGATTTATCTATTTAACAGTCAAGATTACTAGATATCTATGTATGTTTTAATGACAGTAACTCCCAACTATCATAAAAATAGAATGATTGGAAAGTAAAAATAGTAAAATACTTTTTTCTGCAAATTATACAATCTGAAAATCATGAGGCTTTCTGTCACTCTATTGGGCTCACACCATAGGCATGCCTGCCCTTAAGTGTTTCTGTTCTCAGCCACACTTGGGCCTGAGCAAGACTTCCCAGGCCTCCCAAACCACATAATGATTCAGTACCAACCAAGTCATACGATCCAAGATACAAACGAAATTGAAAGAACACTTTCCACCCAAAAAGGGCAGAGCTGCTTAAGACCGGCCATATAAACTAGAGAATGATGCTAGACCACATGCATCTTAGAAACCCCAAACTACAAACTTAAGAAAGTTATTGCATAAAGTAATTAAAAGATGATTTGTGTCTGTTGGGGACTGCTGGACTTTGAAGGAGGCCTAAGATTTGGGCCTTTAGGCCTGATGCCAAGTAGTAGAACAAAAAGTAGAATCATGAGGGTCAAGTGGAAGACAGAGGACTCATTCAGACATTCAGTAAACATTTAGTACCAACAATGTAGAAAGCACTTTGGGAATGCAAATATAATGCAAATGAGATGGCCTGTGCCCTTTAAGACTTTCAGTTCTCAAAGAATAAGTATCTTGTGGCATAAGCGAGTCAACATGCAAATGAGAGAGAGCATTCTGGCCAAGTTGATCAGCCAGTACTTCAAGAATGGAGGACTGCAAGTTTGAGTCCTGCCTGGGAAACTTAGACCCTGTCACGAAAAGTATAAAGGGCTGGGGATGTAGCTCAGTTAAAGTAGACAGCTTCTGGGTTCCATCTCCCATACTTAAAAGGCATTTAAGCTTGGCCTTAACTACGGGGACTTGTTGAGCAGAGACAATAAATGAAACCATTACAGAGAGAATTTTGGAGGAGAATCCGTATCTCTTACTATGTACCATTTATCATTATTCCTCCCAAGCAAGATTGGCCATTTACAGGCAAGGAGACTGCATCTCATAAGTGTCAGAGAACCTATCTTTGCAGGTGCTGCTACAGCTGGTGTTTGAAAGTGAGATCGTGTGATGTAGCAGTGTTACACCTCAGCCAAAGTTCAGGAAATAAGACAGTATGGGGACCAAAGGAATAAGGCTTTTGGGGTCTTCCGCAAAGTCAAAATGACCGTGAAACGTAAATGTTTTGAATTGATTCAGGACACCAAGGCCATCATGAGAATGCAACTAAAGACACTCACAAAAGAGGGCTTCCAGAACTGCTTTAGAAAGTGGGAAGAATAATGGGATACATGTTTAAAGCAAAGGGGAGCATTTTTTGAAGAGGATTAATGCCAATAGGTCTTTTAATGAAATTTTGAAAACAATTTCTATAGTTCCTGTATTTTTCTGTCATACCTCATATACCAAGTTCAGTATGTACCACTCTCACTGCCCTTCGTAAGTGTAATCTTTGGGATGTTAAGAATACACTCTTTGGACCCAAGTGAAATCCACATTCTGGTCTCTCAAATCAGTGCATCCCAAGAGTATCCTGAGATTTCTGAATGCTAAACTTGATCAAGATATAGACAAGTGAGCATATTTTGAAATCATCAGGCCACAGAGTTCCAGAGAGGGCTGGAGATAAGACACCCTGGATATTCTGATTGCACCTAAAAAACCAACTTGGGTAAATCAGAAGAGCAGAAATAATGAGCAAATTGTCTTTCCAGTGGGAGAGAGAGCATTCAGGGATTAAGAAAAAAGGCAATGAATGGGCTATTGTGTGGACACCTCCATGTCCCCATTAATTTTTGTGTTAATTCAGGATTCACCACCCAGTAAAAAGCTAGTGGAGATTTATGGCTCACAAATTAAAACTCATATTTACATCATAACAACATAGATATGGAGGACTGCAGGAGTAAAAATTCAAGCATAATTCATGCCCATCTTGTACGATACGTCAGGATAGGTGAAGAGGGGAAATGTGTAGCCAGTGGCCTGCATCTGATTCTCGAGGGAGTTCTGAATACCATCCCTAGAGCTTGGATTCTGGTCACTGGGTCTGCCCAGAGGGAGCAAAGGTGGCTGAGAAGAGCCCCAAAGTGGGGTCCGGGATCCAATCACATTCTAATCTCAGGGAAAGAATTAGGCAGATAATTCTTCCCAAGTCATAAATCCAGGTTTGCCCATTTTGTGGTTTCAGCCTTTCAGACATAGTTAAAAACTTTTAAAAGTCCCCCTTACATTTCATAAAAGTTTTCTAATTATTTTGCTTTTGATCTCTGAAAAGTTAGCATTGTCTTTTTCCATCATGGCTGAGGGTTACATTAGATACTAAAATTTTATTTGGGCTCTTTGAAGAATTGGTTTTTTGAGGTGCTAGATTGTTTCTAGTGGAGGTAGAAAATGCAGGTGAGATAATGATGGAAAATTGGAAGTTAAGGATCGAAGTTTTTTTATTTCCCCACCATCTAAGCCATATACTAACTCTGAAATGGCATAACTAATTGCGGTAAATATTTTGAGACCTCAAATTAAATAGGAAAATGTCTTAGCTTAAAGAGGTGTTGAAAAAAAAAGATGTTGAAAAACTTTCAAAATTAGGTAAATTTTCTTAAACTAACAAGGTATTCTTACTAGATTTAAATTTTTAGATTATGTGC